GGCTGGCCATCCTCCTCCACCCCCAGCCCCTCCACTCCCTCCTACACTGACTCCAGGCGGGACCCCCCCTTCACCATCAGGTCCAGCTCCTCCTCCCGGAGCCCCTCTCCCTCCTCCAGCACCACCCCTTCCTGCCGGACTGTTCTCTCCTACAGAGGACCGCCCCCTCTCAGGCCTGGCTGCTGCCCTCGCTGGAGCCAAGCTACGTAAAGTGCCAAGGGTGAGCACTTGAAAAGTTATTGGATCCATGTTGAGCTTGACATCGCATGTCTACACTCATAGCTCTTCATATTTGAATCATACAAGATACAGTACAGAAAGGCATCAAATGTGTACACATGCACGGTTATATTTTCCTATTGATCTTTGTGTCCTTTTCAGTGAAACACTGACTTGACTGAAGCACTGATGGTAGACACTCAACGTTCATACAAAATCACTGTCACTGAAACATTCAAACACATGCCATGTTCAAGCATGATCTCACACACACCCACACACACAATGACTGACACATCCCATTTGTAATTCAGAGGAGATTGATGTAATGTGATGACAATCAAACATGGAAAAATACAGACATTTGCCACAAAATCATTGGTTTTAATATTTAAGGTTTTACCTATTTAAAGACCAGTAATGCTGTACATTTTCAATATCTATTAGGGTTATTTCTTCCCTCTGATTGTATAGAACTTGCTGCATTCCTTTGTATTTGACTGGAGATGTTGCTTGTATCACTGTTACAGAGTGACGATGCAGCGGCAGGTCTGGCAGCAGGCATGCCCGGGGCTGAAATCTGAAGCCAGAGGCAACGGCCCTCTGCCTGGAGGAGGAGGGCTCATGGAGGAGATGAGTGCCCTGTTAGCAAGGAGGTAGCGACACATCATATATTACTCTTCGATTCAGTACGTCTCAAAATAGGCACTTGAGTCATATGAATGAATTTCAGATCTTGTTTCATATACTACAGAAAAGTGAAACTTGACACAGTTGCCATACAGTAGATTTAGCAAACCTCAATGTTGGTCGCAATGGATTTTGTTGTGCCACCTGAAGAATAAGTTCATGTACTCATCACTCTCACTATTCCTCAGTATTATGAGATGATATGTAGTAAAATCGTAATTTAAATGCACTTTGTTGCTGACAGAGAAGTATCACTGTAAGATCTAGAGAAATCTAAGGAATTTAGGTTTTAAAAATGTGGAGTTCAGGAGGAATTGTGTGGTCTGTGCTTTATGATATTAACATTAAACATGATGATATGTTTTTAAAAATAGCAACTGTTTTTCAGAAATAATTCTGGACTCTGTCTTACAGGAGAAGAATTGCAGAGAAGGGCTCATCACCTGAACCTGACCAGAGATCAGTAAGTACCATTAGATCCTTCTTGTCTGCTGTATTCATGGGGTAGGACTGGATAAGTCTGACTTCTTCCTACTCCATTCAAGCATGTACTAGGTATAAGCAAATTGATATTGGATTAGCATTTGTTGGATATGTGTAAAATTATGTGTGTTGACATATCAACTGTCTTTACATGCTTGAAAGAATAAATCAATTCAAATCTACAACTTGTTTGATTTAGTGCCAGAATGTTATCACTTTCCCTCTGCTGCTAAATTACACAATAGCTCCTCTAATAGCTTGTTTGCTGCCTACATTTACCAGGCTTCTATTAAAGCCTATCTAGCTAACTTTTGCCCTCAAACTCTCAGCTGTTAGTCAGTGAGAATCAAAACAAACTCAGGCAGTATGCCGTCCTCTTCTCCCTCTGTTCTTCCTTGCTCCTCCTGCCCTGTCATCAGTCATTTTTACACTGCCATCCCACACTGCTGCTCTTCTAAAGAGTCACCAGTATCCTGCCCTTGTGCTGTTCATACAGATCAAGCAAAGGGCAGTATAATCATGAGCCAGCCTGTGAATTCAGACAACAGGCCACGATTCCGCACCGGAAGCGAGACGTGATGTTCCTCTGCGTCAACTGCAACATAAATTTGCAGTACTAGTCTACAAGCCAAAACAACAGTGGCAGGAGACAAAGGTCAAGGTCAAAGGTCAAAGTGTTTATTTGTCATATGCACAGTTAGGAAACGTGTTTCCCTGTACAATGAAATTTTTATTTTGCCATCCACATGAATGCCACAAAATACAAATGAAATATAAAGTAGATAAATAAGTAACACAAAATCTAAGGCACTTTTAGCAGCAAATGCAGAGATATAATAAAAATATATAAGATTATAATAGGAAAATGTATGCTGCATGGGAGCTGCATGTGCAGCAGTCAACAAGTCAATGTGCAATTATGCATGTGCAAACTGAGAATGTAAACAGGTCATCAGTACATGATGTATTTCCTGGTAACAAACTCCTCAGCTGTGTAGGAGTCTGATGGCAGAGGGAAAGAAAGAGTTTTTCAATCTGGAGGTCCTGCATTTCACACTTCTGAACCTCCGGCCAAAGGGTAGGGAGGCAAACAGTACATGCTGGGGGTGGATTGGGTCTTTAAGGATGGAGGCAGCTTTCCTACGCACCCTGCGGTGGTAAATGCTCTGCAGAGAGGGCAGTGGAGTCCTGGTGATCTTCTCCGCAGTC